TGTTGCTGATTTTTGAAATTGAGCTTAAGTTAACTGTTCAGTTTGTTTATGTCTAAAGCCCTGTGATTTAACCATATAACCTGGTCACTTGGTGACTGCAAACATGCTAAAGAAGAGAAATTCCCAGGGGTGAGCACCATATAGTGATTTGTGCTGTCTTTTAACCAACAGCTGAGTGTTCCATGAAGCAAAGCTTCGTGACCCACCTACAAATTCTGTCTTTCCTTCTAACAGTGTAAGAAAGACCAAGTCTTCAGACCAAGTTTCTGTTCTGATATTTGTTTCCTCTCGACCATGGTGGGTTGTTGTTGCTTTGAGTTAGGAATGTTTTCATTTATACATATAAGTTTATTCCTCTTTTTTATTTAAGCTAGGGCTTTTGTTCTCAATTCTTTAAGAAATGACACTATGCTTTTCTTATGTTAAATGGAAAATTAAGCTCCAGCAACTTGTAATTGTTCAAAGAAAAATAATAAAGTGTTATAGTCATTGTTAAAAGAAAACAAAGACCCATGATAAACATAAACACTTATTATTAATGTCTCTATTTTAAACAATGTATTTTAAAGGAAGTATATTAAAGAATGTCCTACTGTCCTACTTCTATTTAGTCATTACTAGAATTTTTTACTCAAATTATTTTTTTTCATTTTTTTCAAGGAAGTAGGAGAAATCAAGAAACAGGACAGGAGCCTACCATACAGGGCCTCTGAAAGATTCTACCTAGCAGTGTATCAAAGCAGATGCTGAGACTCATAACCAAACTTTAGGCAGAGTGCAGGGAATCATATGAAAGAAGAGGGCGTTAGTAAGATCTGGAGAGGACAAAAGCTCTACAAGGACCAAATATATCTGGGCACAAGAGTCTTTTCTGAGACTGATTCTCCAACCAAGGACCATGCGCGGATATAACCTAGAACCCCTGCTAGGACATAGCACAAGACAGCTCAGTGTCCAAGTTTGTTCCCTAGTAAGGGAAAGAGGGATTATCTCTGACCTGAACTCATTGGCTGACTCTTGGACCTCACTACCTGTCCTGGGAGGAACAGCCTTGCTAAGCCACAAAGAAGAACATTGCAACCAGTCCTGATGATACCTGATAAGCTAGGGTCAGATGAAAGGGGAAGAGGTCCACCCCTATCAGTGGACTTGGAAAGGGGCAGGGAGGAGATGAGGGAGAGTGGTATTGGGAGGGAATGAGAGAGAGGAGCTACAGCTGGGATACAAAGTAAATAAACTGTAATTAATATTAAAAATAAAATAAAAAATTAAATAAAGCTTTTCTTTTAAGTTTAAAATTAATTTAAAACATAACACTTAAGAATAGCTGTACTGTGGTAGCTAATATAAACTATGACAGTAATTTAAAAATTGTAATCTATCTTCAAAATGCATGCTTTATTTTAGTTTTAAATTTTATAAAGATTTATTTATTTGTTATTTATATAGTATTCTGCCTGCTTCAGTGCCTGTAGGGTCACATAGATGGTTATGAGCTATCATGTGGTTGCTAGGAACTGACCTTTGGAAGAACAGCCAATGCTCTTAACATCTGAGCCATCTCTCTAGCCTCCTAGTTTTAATTTTTTTTTAAGTGTTCATTCTTGACTGAAATTTGTGCGATTCAGATATGGGCTTATTCACTATTCTCATATTCTTTCCTATAACTTCATTTAGCTATTGTAATTTACCTTTATCTCAATAAGCTATCTTATGTATCTGAGGGAAGGGAAAAGTTTCAGGGAAGACACAGAAAGGCTGAGGGTGCCTCTAACTAGTGGGCTGCTTAACTAGCAGCTGTGGAACGCTGGGTAAATACCCTTGTATCATAGTTAAAAGAAAATAAGACGGTGTAAGGTTGTTGATCAAGTCTTTATTCCTCTTCAGAATTTGTAGATGCTTACTGAAACAAAAATGTATAATTATAAGATTTTTTCTAAGACCAAAATACAGTCTCTAGCTATCATTTTCCTATCCTAAATGTCACACCATTTCTTTCCTAAAGCTGTATCCTAAGAGACCTTACCATTTGGTGTATGACACACTGCTTTGACAATTCAGTGAAAAGACAATTGTGTTTGATTATTTTTCAATGTCATTTTGTTGCTAAAACTGAAATTATCAAAATAAAATGAATATATTAAGGGATACATATATGGATATTCAAACCCATGAAAAGTTGATTATGTTTTTCATTGAAAAATAATCAACTCTAATATAAAATGACTATTTTAAATAGATTGATTTTAATACATATTTAAATAGAAAATTTAAAAGGCATACAGCAATTTGAAATTGATGTTATTTTCTTTCATCTTATAAATATACAGGAAGATGATGGTCACCTTAAAATATTCTACATAGCCACAATGACATATTCTACATAAGGTGTACCAAGTGCTGATGAGGTGGCTCATTGATTTGGCATACCTGATCATAACCCTGAGGATCTAGGTTCATGACCCAGAGTCCATGGTAAAACTGTACAACCAGCAAACAAAAACCGTTTTCTTAGTCTCTATATTTGCATCATGGGCACATTTATCCACACTTTGAAATCACACACACACACACACACACACACACACACACACACACACTTATGAGCAGTAAATAAAAATATAAGTTCATGGATTCTTTTTCAGAAGATTAACAAGGTCGTATGTAAACTTCAGAGTATTCAACTTGTAATTTTTCCATATCGGATAGAGAATTTTTATAGATGTTAATATTCCAAAAAGATTATAAGACTATGATGTTTATACCCTGTATTGCAGATGTTATAAATCAATGATTTAAGGCAACTCTTAAACTTTCTTGTTGAATTTCAAATTATTTATCAGTATTCCACCATCTGTAATTCATTTCAGAAAGATAGACTATGGTGGATAAAACATGCAATATACACGGGAAGCCCATAGACAGGATATTGATTGATTTTAGTCATGGTGCTGCAGCAGAGACAGAGCTCACCAAGATGTTAACCTTCAATGTCCAAAGGAGCAGAGGGGTTCAGCCTTGGAAGAGATTGACACCCAGCTAGCTCACTCCAGTTACTTTATTCAAACATTATATAAGGTTAGTTGGGACTAGGAAAGTTCCAACTGCCAAGTTGTCTTGCCGTAGCAGATAAACCACCGAAATCTTGGTTCTTTTTTGACCATGGTTAGCCACAATCAAAAGTAAGAACTCTAGGTTTGCCAGAGTGTCTTAGGACCAAGGTCAGTGCAGCTTCAAGCCTTCACATAGCACCAAGTGCAAATTCTCTAGAAAGACAACATTTCTTCCGCGTTCAGACAGCCTGAAAACAATTTCTCAGCCTTTGCTGATTGACCTAACTATAATAAAGGCCCACTGAAACATTTCACCTAGAGCCAAACGAAGGTTTTACTGTACATTTCACCACATGTTCTTCCTTTCTGTTTTAAGTGGATTTATTAGGGGTAAAAATCAGAGGCCGTGGCCAGAGAATAGAAAACTAAATTTCCCAGGTGATGGAGGTTTATCTAAGCTGTACACATGGGAGTGTAGAGATATGTGGAGTACAGGTAGAGGTCACTGTATGGTGGGCACAGCCGGTCATTCACACAGTGTTAATTCTGTCTCACAACCAGGACAGGGAATGAGGTGGAGAAGAAATATCTATAGAAAGACCCTCTTGGCTGCAGAATAACTGGGCAGGTGGCAACATAACCCCACCCTTCCCATTCCCAGAATCCACAGTCCACTTTGGCTCAGTTCATGCTAGCCCAGTTAGTTACTCTAGCCTACTTTCCCCTGAAAATTAGAAAATAACAGAAAATAGAGAAAAAAAAAAGGCAAATAAAACTATTGCCTGGCAATACCTCACAGGCAAGCCTTGAGTGATTAAAAAGTGCAATCTGTTACAGAAAACATGAGGAGGGCAACATACTCCATGCTTCCTCATGCCTTGCAGTACAGGCAAAGAGATAAGACTATGGGAGCAGTCACGTGGATACTGACATAATTGAAGAAGAGTGACACACTTAAAATGTTCTTCTGCAAAATGCAAATGTAAACCAAGACACGCCACAGATAATGAAACCCACTATGGCCCCTCCTGTCTACTCAGCTGTGTGCACAGTGGAGAGTATTCCCTCAGCTGACTGGCTAACTCCCTTGGGTTACTTAGCAAGGCCACATTTTCATTCAGACCGGTCCTTACCTACCCCTGCTTCTGCAATCTGGCTTTCTTTTATTTATCTATTTGGTGCTGGAGATGTCCTCACACCTGCCAGCATGTGCTCCCCCAGCCACATGGCTTTTCCTTCTTTAATTCTGAAGTCTGATATGGCATGGTTCACCTGTAACTTTAATACTTTCAGTAAAGAAATACTTCTGCAGGTTTGTGTTTCTACCTGATCTCCTTTGACAGTAACAGAATGATTCAAACCATGGTCAATTCTAAGAGCAGTTTGAAGATCGGAGACAGAGTTTCTAAAAAGGATCCACCTGGCTATAACTTTAAACTTAATTTTTGCCACTCTCCTCCCATACCATATTTTTTTTTTTAAAAGAGAGATCGTTAAACACTGTATTAATTTTAAGGAAGAAATAAAAATCATCTACTTCAGACACAAGAGACACTCAGACACTTACTATTCCTAAATACATCGCAGAAGTAGTGTACTTCAAATGAAACGAGGACTGGTAGAGAAAGCAGGAACAGTGGTGCAGTCCTGTAATTACAGCACTGAAGAGGCAATGACAGGAGGATCACAAGTTCAAGGCCAGCCTCTGGTGTGTAACAAGACCGTGTCTCAAAGGCAAAAAAAGACAGAAAACATAGATATATAAAAAAATTTGAAAACAATCTATCCTTAGAGCACAAGTGAAACAGAGTTAAGGACTTGAATGAAACAAAACAACAGCAATGTAGGAAAATCAATGGGAAGGTTTTCCTCTTGGGACATAAATAGAAACTAGACTGAAATCTTGAAGTTATTCTTCCGGTCTAAGCGTAGGCCTCCTGTCAGCACTCAGGAAGATCTTGATTACTTGAACTGGTTGTCAATCAGGGTCCCCTTCATTTTTGCTTTCTTGGCTTCCAATTCAGCCAGCTCTTGCAGTCGCCTCTTGCTCATGCCTTTGCGCTCCAACTGTATTTCAATCACCTTGGCATTCTGTGCGTAGGAGTCAGCAACTTCCCTTGCTTCTATCTCTTCTTCCTCTTCATCGATGGTAGACACAGTAACGGAGCTGAACTTGCCCATGTCTTTAGTCCGCTTGGTCATCATAACCTTCTTAGGAGGCTCTTGTTTCTGAGTGTATATGTTAGTTTTCCCAAAGCCTTGGCCGAATTTCACCACTGCTCCGTCTACAATGAAGGTCACGGGAGCACTCTTCGGCTGGGACTGGTAGAAAAGGGGCAGTCCACACTTTGAACACTTCTTCCTGTACTGGCGTTCAATGCCCTCAGGCCTCCGAAGGTAGGTGGTTTCCTCGTCTTCTGTGTTACAAAACTTATGGGCATGTTTGGCAGCATCGATCACGCGAGACCGGTCCCGCGGCCTCATGGGTAATTTCTCTAACTGGCAATCCAGCACCAGGACCATCTGGCCACACAAACAGTAGTAGACGTGGAGGGGCTTCTCACCGTCATCGTACTCCTCGCGGTCCCGGGTGTCGGAGCAGACCACCGACCGGGACACGACTTTCGGCATAGTTCCGGTGGAGCAGCCAGAGGAATACACAAGGACAGGAAGAGCCGGGCCAAGATGGCCGCAAACTACTTCTTAAATAGCGGAATGCTTTACTCTCGGGAAGCCGACTGCAGGCTTTTAAATGTAGTTCCCCTTTGGAATAGTAAATAAACAAATAAATATAGCCCGTCAACAATCAAACAAAAACAATCACCACTTTGGGGATGCGGCCGTTTTCTTCTCTTCTTACCAAGCAGTGTCAGAATCATTACGTCCACCTTAAAGAACTTTAAAGTCCTCCAGTGTGCTCTCGGGTCATTACTTTTATTTGTCTCAATAGGTGAAGACATTGGAGTTGGGTCACCAAGGCAGAAACAGTCTTCAGCATAGAAAAGGAGCTCAGAGTCTCGGCTACAGTCTTAGGTATAGAACTAGCTTTAGGTGAAAGCATGGTGACTCCTACAGAACCCTAAGTCTGTTGGTGACTTGGATGGTCATCAGGGTAGGTGTTTCATTTGTAGGCATGTACTGGAGAAAAGAAGACTGCAGGGGTAAACAAACCAAGATCTTTTTATCTAGATCTGAGGAGTACCATCTCCACCCAGGAACACTTAGACGGAACAAGGACACACTCTGTACAGAGAAGATCCGTCAGATCTTGATAGTCAGCCTTAGGTGTTCAGGCTCTTTAATGCCTTTAAAGTAAAACTGTGCCCCATTACTGTTGACAAACCTCACAGAAGAGAGAAAAAAAAAATGTCAGAAGCATGAGATCTCTCTGACCAGTGACTCCACCCCAAGAAGGAAAAAGGTAACTGTGAAGGCTCAGAAATTCTGGGATCAGGCAGACTTGAAACAGCCTTCGCCCGAGCGAACATCACTGACCTGAGCAGACACAACTCCAGAAAGTCATTGTGTGTATTTTCTCCCGTTAAAGTAACCTGTGGCTGAAGAGCACTAAATCAACAAAGTGCTTACACTGCAAGCAACAGGACCTAAATTTAAGCCTCAGAAATCATATGTAAAGAAACAAACAAACATATGTAAACAACAAACGAAAAACAAAAACCAAAAAAACAAAACAAAAATACAAAAACAAACAAACAAACAAACAACAACAAAAAAAAAAAACCGAATGGCATATGTCTGTGACCCCAGCTCCAAGAAGGCAGAGACAGATACCTACTACAGCTTTATGTTAGCCGATCTACTCTCTCTGGAAAATTGTGAGACACCCGGGATCATAAAGGTAGCGGCCACCAGGGGTTGACCTCTAACCCCCACATGTTTATGCACACATACATACACAGGAGAACATACGACTTGTGCCTGCATACATAATATACACTAACACACCTATATCATACACAAAACAAAGGCAAATATATATCTCTAGCTCAACCTCTGTTACTTTATTGTGTTGTGAATGATTTTTAACACTTGTTAGTACCATCATACCTAATTATTCAAATATAGACAATATAATTTTTGTAACATGAGTGACAACAGTTTTGAAAAAAAAAACTAGAAGGATGAAAATGGTAGTTGTTTAGATAGGCTTAGTTATGCTGTAGTATCATGTATGTGAGGGACAGATACAGTACAATGTGCTGTGTGTCTGCTTCACATTTTCAATATCTTCTCTGGGCAATGACACAGCACAGAAGGCAGCCATTTTGCAGGTGAAGTTAGATAAATTGTTGGTATCAATTAAAACATTTCCAGTAGCTTATAACATAATATTTGGAAACCTGAATGCTAGGTACTGTTAGTTGTAATCTTTGCAAATACTGTAAGTTCAGTCAAAATTTATAGTCCATTCAAAATTCTTAACTGTTATTTATGGCAATTTTCAACTATTATACAACAACATACTTGATGGATAAATCTAGTACTATTTGCTGGTGATGCAAGTACAGATTTAATTGTATTATTTTCCTCTTCTTAAAATGTGCTAAAATGTTTACATTATTATGTTCATTTTTAACCCTACATTGCTTCTGAGATCTAACCAACCATGGTGCCCCCTAGTGGTTGGAAAATAACTTGCCATCCAATGGCTCAAATTTAAATTGTTAATATTTTATAAGACTTCATTGACTCAGAGACCTGATAGGCTAGTGTCAAATAGAAGGGGAGGAGAACCACCCTATCATTGGACTAGGGAAGGGGCAAAGGGGTAGAAGAACAAGGGAGGTTGGTATTGGGAGGAGAGAAGTGAGAGGGCCACAGTTGGGATACAAATTAAATAAATTGTAATAAATGTTTTGATAAAAAAGTATACTTAAAACATAAAACAAATCTTCAAAAAATTCAAAAAGAAACTGACTAAAATACAATTAAGTCGAAAATTATTCAGCAAAATTCAAGAATCAATTATTCTTTACCCAATGTTGACTTTTCTCAAAAGTAATAAAGTAACATTCCTATAGAAATTACACAGTTTTGTAATGGTTATCAAGTAGAAGGAATAATCCTTAGTGTTCTATATCAACTACTCCATCATTCTATATGTCCTCTATTTATTATATATCACCCTCATATATGTCATTTCTCTCTACAAATCATATATATATATATATATATATATATATATATATATATATATATATATGCAAATACATAGAGAAAACTATATTGCATAAGTTTTCTATATAGAATGGAGACTTTTTCACAGGCAGAAATAATTACAACATGATTTCAATACAAAAATCTCTACAAAAAAATTTTCAAGTACTTAGTCCCCAGGCATAATTTTCTATTGTGTTAAATGTATCAAGTTTCAATTCTGGATTAAATATTTAAACGAAGCACATATTCAGGCTCCATCTTCTCCCTTATTCTATGATTATGATTGAAATGTTAAACAGAAATATAGAAACTTATTTGATATAAAAAGGCAGTTATTGAAACAATTTTAGGGAAAATACAAGGTACTAATATAGTCTGGGATAATCCTTTTTTTCTGGAAGGCTGTAACAATATAGTTTAATAATTTATATTTATGCTTGAATAACCCAAGACCATAAATGTAGTTACATGCAAGCAACAAAATAAAAGCTAAAATTAAACATTCAACTTGATAAAATACATAGGACTATTGATACTAAAGCCAGTCCTGGAATAGAAAAGACATTAGTTATAGAATGAAAATCAAAGTTGTCATTATAAATGCAGAACACTTTCACAGAGACCAGTGGATCGATCACTTCAGAATTTATGTGTCTTTATATGGAATTTACATGAGTCATAAAACACTGAAAGGAATATTTTCTACCACACAATCTTGACTTCCTTCAACCAACTTAGAAATAAATTGCCCACAATTCTTAGTCCCTAATATGTGCACAGTGAACATGTTTAGTTAATAGTTTTCCTTGACTAAACACTGTACTGAAGTGCCAGAAGATTGTCTGTAAGCAGAACACTGGACCTGTTTATATTTGATTTGCTTTCCCAGTTTTTCTTTTCTTACTATTTTGTTCTGTATTCCATAAAACTATATTACTTTTCACTTTTCATCCCCTCAGAAAGAGAAAACAGAATCAAAAAACACCCATGAAAGAAGCTCTGTCCAATAATTGTTGCCATCCTTTTATTTGAGGAACCTAAAATATAAAATACAGACTATATATTTCGGTTGAGTTTTAGAAGAACACAGAAAGGCTAGACAAAAGGTTTAGCAGTTAAGAGCAATTTCTGCTCTTTCAGAGGATCTGGGTTAAGTTCCCAGCACCAAAATGAAGTCTCACAACCACCTGTAACTCCAAATCCAGGGGACTTAACAACAGTTTCTGGCCTCCAGCATTAGGGTTCGGCAGCAAAAGTACCTTATAGCATACCAAGGTGTGCTGAAAAGAGACTGCAAAATGCACCAGATCTTACACGAGAGGTTAATTGGGGAGAGTGTATAGAGGGTGAGAAGAGGAGGCCCTGGCATTTTATAAGATGGTATGTTGCATTAAGGTGATCCACCACATGCTCATAGGGAGAGAGTGGAAATGTTTCACATATGGGCAGCTGCTGCTGCTGCTGTACCACTGTAGCCAAGTTACTGAAGGTGAGCTTAGTGGTGGGGTATTCCAATATCCCTCCCTTTCCTTTATTATAAAATGTGAGGGAATATTTAGACTTGACTGGTGGGGCAGGGAGGAGGGTGCTAGGCTCTTTAGACTGCTTCCTGCTCTCTAGGGTGTAGAAGGACATTGTTGACTTTCACCTACAGGGTATATTCGGTGGTCGTGAGTCTCCATGTCTGTGGCTAGTGGTTGGTTGTCATGTAACAATAACTGATTAATCTATTGATTGGGTAGTTTTTCCACTTGTCTGTGGAGCAACATAGAGAAGAAATTGCTGAATCAGGATGAAATTAGTAAAAACAAAACAAACAAAAATGAGGGGGATCAGAAAGGGCAGGATCCATTACCATGTGGGGTTCTCAAAGGCCCAGAGGCTAGAGGTATTGAGTTGTTGCTTTATTTTCTGTAGGTCTATTTGAAGCTGATAGATTTTGTTGTTTACTATACCCAGTTGTTGATGCAGAAGCAGCGTTCTTCTTGGAGAAAAAGACCAGGGCTATCTCTTTCAGCTGTACGAAGATCTACTCCTAGTTGAATTTGGAGTACAACTTACTACTGCCAAGGAGTTAATTTCTTCTTGAAGGGTTAGTATGGTTTGGTCCAACCACTAGAGGTTCTGGATGAGCTGGAAGAAAACTGATGATGCAACGTCAGGGAGGTGATTAATCCTACTGTCTTGCTGGCGTCAGCAAGTTATTCCTGTAACAGCTGGAAGGGGCAAGATTCGAACCTCACTTTTATTATGTTGGGTGGCTGTTGAGTCCACAATTGGATTCAGTAGGGACTCTTTTCCATGTATCACCCCCAAGTTGGAGAAGAAAAATAATGGTTTGCAAACTCCTGACCAACTAGGAGGTAAGTGATAGTAAACTTGAGTATCACAAAAAATCAAGGTGTGATAGATGGTGGTGCACAGGGGCTGAGGTAGAGTAATGAGTGTTA